TTCCAACTTGTGCCCATTGCCCCTCGTCCTGTCACTGGGAACCACTGAAAAGATTCTGGCTCCATCCTCCTTCAACCCACCCTTTAGATATTTGTACACAATAATAAGGTCTCCCCTCAGCCTTCTCTTCTCCAGGCTAAAGAGTCCCAGCTCTCTCAGCCTTTCCTCATACGGGAGATGCTCCAATCCCTCAGTCATCTTGGTTGCCCTCCACTGGACTCACTCCAATAGTTCCCGATCTCTCTTGAACTGGGGAGCCCAGAACTGGACACAGTATTCTAGTTGTGGCCTCACCACTGCTGAGTAGAGGGGGAGAATGACCTCCCTCGACCTACTGGCCACACTCTTCCCTATGCAGCCCAGGATTCCATTGGCCTTTTTGGCAACAAGGGCACATTGCTGGCTCATGGACAATTTACTATCTACCAGGACCCCCAAGTCCTTCTCCTCAGGACTGCTTCCCAGCAGGTCCACCCCTAACCTATACTGGTGCCTATGCTGGAGACTGGGAGCATTCTTCCTCCCCAGGTGCAGGACCTTGCAGTTGCTCTTGTTGAACCTCATTCGGTTCTTCTCTGCCCAGCTCTCCAGCCTGTCCAGGTCACGCTGGATGGCAGTGCGGCCCTCTGGAGTGTCAGCCACCCCTCCCAGTTAGGTATCATCAGCCAACTTGCTGAGGATTGGGGGAGTAAAAATGGACAAAATAGAGAAATTAAGGTGGTTTAACAGAGGGAAACAAAATGAGGTGCTTAGATAATCCGAGGATTAAGCCAGCGCAGCCGGCCTGCTCCGACAAAGTGGAGATTTGAGAGTGAGCCTTACTGCGACGTGCGCAGATCCCACGGGAATCGAGACCAACAGGCAACGAAGTGGTGCGGCACCAGCACCAGGTACGGGTGTGAGGAAGAGTGAGGTCCCACAAAAAAACAGCCAGACAGGGAAGAAAGACACTTGAGTTTGCTTTATCCGCATTGCGGTTGATATGCAATATTAATCTCTGTCTTGAGCATGGGTATATGCACAGCTGAATTAATCGCAGGAGAGTGGAGCGTTGCCTTTTGTTACAGTTCTGTAAAACAGTGTGGTTTTTACCTCGCTTGGTTTGGAGGTTTTCTCACTTTCTAAAATACATCATCTCCGCGACTGGAAATTTCCATCTTTGGGTGCTCACCAAAAGTTGCAGGATCTTTTCTTGTTCTCAGCAGCTTTGGCAAAGTCCAAAGCGAACTTCCTGGGTAAGGTGGGATGGGATTTGAATTTTCAAAATCGTGGTAATTCAAACCAAGAGTACCCGTGGAACTATCAAAAACTCATAAATTAAATGCAGAAGGTGGCTGTGGATCTCTTGGTATGTGCTGGCTCTGTCTTAGATACACACGTACAGATACAAACGTGACAACGTATCGCCTGAGAAACTATATGAATCAAAGGTCAGAAGATGCTGTTTTAATGCAGGTATTCAAAAGAGCAGAGTTAAGGTTGGATATTCAGTTGATTTGGTTTTTTATATCCTTCCCGCTATGTTTTTAGGCTTGCAAATTTAATAAAGACAGAGGCAGGCATGTAGTGAATAATCTGCCAAGCAGGCATCCATAACACGAGCGAAAACTCGTTTTAGGAAGACGTTTGCTAACAGCAGGTTTAAATTGAAATTACAGGAATCCACCAGAACTTTTTACAGTTATCCCCTAAAAGGCAGTTAGTTACTTTTGGAAGGTTGTCTCTATTA